TCCATAGTTTACGAAGCTGTGGAAACGCTATATCTAACCAAGGTTTCGCTCTGCCATTAAAATGAACAACAGCAGCACGTTCAACATCTGCCATGGTTGAATTCTCCTGGTAGCCGAGGCCCAACATATGCCAGAAAGGATCGATAACTTGCACATGTCCATGAAACGCGATCAAACCTGGAGGTAACGTTCCTAGCTGCCATAAACTTAGATCCGATTTCAAATTCTGCATTCGAAATATAAAAAATTAGATACTTAGATCGTGTGTATGTGTTCATGATCTGTGTTGAATCACTTACCTCTTCGAGCCAGTAATGGTAGTTCTCGCTTATGTTCGTCTTTCTCCAAGCTTCCAGATCGAAAATGTTCATCCCATAGGCCCAAGCACATTCGTTTGCGTCAAAATTCTTCGATATTAATGGATGCGAGAAGTTTAGGTAGCTTTTAAATCGCTTCGACATCACAAATTTATCGCCGCCGTGACACGTTTCAACTGCTCCGTTCACTTTTCCGTTCATCTCAATCTCAAACAACGGCGACAGATCTGATTGAACCACCAGGTCGTCGTCTAGGAACACCACCTTGTTTAGACTCGGAAACATCTACAAAACCAGATCCGGTGAGCGTCGATTGATGATTAAACTCGATTTTTACATGAATTCCTTAAAATTCACCTGTGGGAGATAAATCCGAACGTGATTCATCACGGAATTGTACTTAGGGCTCATAGCTTGCAACTTTGCGGCGATGACGTAAGGTTTCTCGGTGTTATTAGCAACAATGGCGGATGAGCCCCCTCTAAACTGAGCCCTAATTTTTTGATCTTTCTCCATGGCCTCCAAAACCGGAACCTTTCCTTTTGCAAACCAATCGAAATGATGCAACGCCTTGACTTCAATCACCGCCGGAGACAAAGGATGCAAGGAGAACCACGCCTGCATCGGAGCGAACGTCTTTCTGTCGGTGATTATGTGAAGGACCACCGTTTCAGGGCGTAATGAGTTGTAAACGAGAGACGTTGCTACGACGGAGGCGGCGAGGATGTTGTCGGAGGCAAGAACGAAGTGGAAGTAGGAGTTGTTGACGAGGGTGGGGACTAGCTCCGGTAAAGGGAGCTGGAGGCGGGAGTTTGCATTGGTGGCGTGTTCGTGGGCTAGGCGGAGGGAGAGGCAGTGGAGTTGTTTGGGTATGCTACTGGATGCCACGTGTCTGTAGAGGTATTCTTGGATTTTGGCTGTTCTAGTCCTCTTTTCAAGAAGTGTTACCTAAAAAAACATAAAAACCATTTAACTTCAACTATTTTGGAACGATTAAAATTTTAAATAATTTTTAACCCAACAGTAAATCTGACTTTTATGTTATTTCTTATTGTTACATTTGAATATGATGTTAAATTTTCATGTGTATAATTTTAATCTTTTAAATTTGAGTTTATGTATTTTTAGTTAATTAATCATAGTTATAGTTTAAATGAAATTTTTTTTTATGTTATGTTATATATATAAATGATATTAATTAATCATATAGATGGATAATTTATTCGGTTATAATTAGTCATAATATAATTTGTAAAAGTATTTTAAAAATAAAATACAAGACAAATTCGTAAAAAGTATGAAAATAAGGGATGTCTTTTGAAATCTATATAAGTTACAAATAAAAGAATTTATATATACTTGGAATTTTTTTGTCTAAAAAATTGTGTACATAGTTAAAAATAAAATGCTGTTCATATAAATTATCACACCATATTGGTGAAAAAATAGTGTTACATGTTAATGATGATCTTACATTTTCTTTATGCTATTTATAAAACAAGCTTATATTCTTCGGTTAACTAGTTTTGATATCAACAAGCTTATATTCTTCGGTTAACTAGTTTTGATATCAACAAAATACAAATTAAAAACACACACACACACAACATTTTAGTTAGTGGACTATTTTTATCGTTTAGTCAGTATTTTTTTTACCAATTTAGCTAATCAAAATTTATTTTCATAATCATAAAAAATAATAATTCAATGGCTGATTGACAACATTGTGAAAGTGTTTGTGTTTTTTATTTTTTTGTATTCTTGGCCTTTCTCAAAACCAAGTAACTTGAGGTAATGGTTTTTTTTACACTGTCAAAACTTATAATGATATAATCACAAAATACCAAGTATATTGTGTATGTTTGTGTGTTTCTGTGTGTTATATAGAAGATAAACAGGGAGGATACCATGGACTTAAGCTTGATGGCAAATGTCTTTGCATCTATTCTTTTGCTACCTTTCATACTATTAACAAATTCTTCCAAACTCTGAGGAATATCAGGCCCTCCCACTATCTCATCTTCGCTAGACCGGTCCTCCAAGATTTCATATATCACTTCTGGTACCTTCTCAGATTAAAAAGAAAAAAAAAACATTTTAGTCTCAAAATTCTCAGAATTCAAATAAAAAACATTGGATGTTTGGTATATTACAACTGAATTCAATCGAAGGCTTCTCCCCCTTAAAACACCCGATGCTAGTTTTTCTCCCTTACAACCTACATACCAAATAATCAAGAAATCAAACAATTTATATCTAAGAAGTAATAAGTAATAACATATTAAAATATGCATATACATACCAATATTGGAACATTTGGTTTCATCATCAATGGTGTCAACTGTACTTAACACATAGATGAATCTAAGAAGAAATATGAACAACAAAAGCGAATAAAACAATATCTTGTAAGATAACCTTCGAGACCCAACCTTAACTTTTATAAACTCTCTCACACCTTTCCCTTGCAACAGTGTAACGTGTCGCAAACTTGGAGATATATGTAACTGCATTTTTTTGTTTATCAAACACACTAAAACAAGAAACCCAACCCTAAATATATACGTACAACTGAAACCTTCTTCTGATATGATTTAACGTGATACGATTTTGGTAATACTATGTTTTGGGTAGATATGGGAGAAGATGGTTTGGAAATTGAAGGGGGATGCTTTATTCCTATATTCAATGTTGTTGAGGTTTTCCCATCTTCTACCTAACCTTCACATTGCTTAAGCTTTAGTGTTTTTTTTCCCTTTTTTATTATAATATATTCTTTTTAAGTTTTTTGAAATTATATATCCATTATCAACATTCACAATACGTTAATAACACTAATTTAGTAGCCAACACCAGTCGGAACCTTTTTTTTTTTTTTTTTTTTTTTGTTAAAGATGAAACAAATCAAAGTTTCAAATAGTAGTGATTTTTATAGAATCTAATATTTTATGAAGTGGGTTTTCTGAAAATTAAAACAAATTATCAGTGGTTAAACTGGAAAAAATTGTTACAGTGGTTTTTATGGAAATTTTCATAATCTATTTTATTTAAATTTATTTTATTTGGTTTGTGAAGAGAGGGAAGGGTGTTTGGTGGAATATGACATGTGACTTGAATAGGGTGTGTGTATATAGACTTTAAGATGTTTTTAAAAAATAATTATATATGTTTTATGGTTTAAACTTTAAAGCATATATTTTAGATACTTCACTACATAAAATGTATCCTTATAATTAAAAGTGCAAAATAAAAAAAGGATTTAAGTTTTATAGAACGATGAATTTAAAATGTATAAGCTATTAGTTGTTGTAGTGAAACTGTGCTTTCATCTAATTAATATGGATAAAAGTTTACGTAAGTGAAAAAATATCATTTAAAATATGTTTCTTAAAATATATTATTTGATTCAACAGTTGAAGAGTAGAAAAATAAAAAGAAGGATGTAGTTTGGTGATGGTTTGGCTTTAAAGTTATTTACCACCCAAATATTTAAAAGTTAAAATACGTGATATATATATTTCTATTTTTGGGCGACGTAAACACATCTCCTAAATGAGAAAGTGACACTTCCATGAACGTGTTGACTACTAATTGGGTCGAATACTTGAGATTTAATTATTTTATTCATTTGGGCTAGGCTTGGTAAAGTTACATGGTGGATTGGTATTAAACTGTTTTTTTTTTTAATTGGTATTTTTAGATCGGTTTCGGTTATAGATTTTTTCGGTTTTTTAAAAGTGAAATTGCATTAAAATCGTTTTTTCAGTTAAAAATGGTTTGGTTCGGTTGTTTTAGAAATAACGAGAAAAAATCTATTTTCTGTTTTTTTATAAAAACCTATTCCTTAATGGGTGGTTCGGTTTTAACCTAACCAGTTCTCAAAAAAGTCGTTAAAACCATTTCTCAAAAAGCGAGTCTGGTTTTTTTTCGATCTTAAAAAAACCGGTTCTTGATGTGCACCTCTGGATGGATCTAACCAACTATTTTAGCATGCACTTAAAATTGGTCGTTTTGATTTATTTTCATTTTGTTTCTTACTCAAAATTCATTTTTTATATTATCTTTATCTAAAGTTGGTATAATTTACTAAATACTTAAAAAGATTCAACCTTTCAACCAGTAATTTATAAAATGATTCATGTGTTTCTTCCTAATATATAAAGTTTCAGCATATAGTTTTTCTATCCATATTTATCAAAGGAGGATCGTGTATGATTATGTTTGACAAAACTAATTAATAACTAAAAAAAACTAGTGTCATACCCGTCCGGTGGACAGGTTGACAAATATATAAATAATATTTTGATTTATCTTAAGCTTATTGTATATTACTTTCATTCATTTATATATTAGTTCAGATAAAATCACCCACACCGACAAACCAAGTAATATCTTATGGAAAAACCTAGTAAGATCATTTGACATATGGCACCCCAACAATAATGTGTTTCGTCATAAAGACAAAAAAAAACAGGATCGTTTACCCATGTCATTCCATACATTTAAAGTTATCGAATAATAAATATGTCTAAAACCTAATATAAAAAGTTTAATCTACCTAATAATTTCAATTAAACTATAAAAAAACTGAGGACTACGATAATATGAAAAATGAAATTTGAAAATTGGAAGAGAAAGACAATTTAGAAAACAATGTCAAAAAACTTAAAAAGTAAAATGAATTCAACCAACATTATTATCTTCCAAAGACTCGTCACACAATCGTGGAAGTCGACGCTTCATTGGTGTTATTAAGGATCCGATAAATGATTTTTCAGAAGAATCAACTTCAATAACAGCACAAGCATCCTAATTGTAAAAAAAATGGAAAAGGAAAATAAGAATAATAACTAACAAAGTAATGTATCAAATGAGGTGTCAATAATAGTTGAAATTTTGTACACAATATATTGTAACTTACTTCACTTTCTCCACCATCTTGTAATCCATATATGGAGATAGGTGTCTTAGACATATCATCTTCAATAGTATCATCACCAACCTAATTGAATAGATCAATGAGAAGAATAAGAAAACTTCAAATGTATCAAATGAGGTGACAATAATCGTTGAAATTTTGTTCCATATCGTAAGGAAAATAGAAACTATATACAATATGTTGTAACTTACTTCACTTTCTCCATCATCTTGTAAACCACATATGGAGATAGGTGTCTTAGAAATATCATCTTTAATAGTATCGTCACCATCCTAATTGAATAGATCAATAAGAAGAATAAGAAAACTTCAAACCTAAAAAAAAATATACAACAATAGTATAAAAAAATATAATAATACATTGTCACATCTGTCACTATCTTCCACATCCTTTTCATCAGATACACTTTTTGTAACACCATCATTTTCATTACTATTAGAAGCAACCTAATTATAAGAAAATAACATAAGTAAAACCATATGACAAAACATAAGTTACAAGTTACATTATTAAATATATTTCACATGTCTAAGGTGACACAATAGCATCATCTTTCATATTACCAGAAGCATCCTAGTAAGAAAAAATAAAAGTTAAATAATAAGAATATCAAATAATGTAATTGAACTAAATATATAACAATTTAAACTGGATTGAAAGAAAACATGGTATGAATTAATTTTGCACTCAATATTATTTACTTTATAAATGAGCTTGTCAGAAACATCAACCTGATGATTATCACAAACGACCTAATAATTGTGCAAGTGAAATACATAAAGAAACATAAGATATAACGAATATAACTATATATATATATATATATATATATATATATATATTATATATTATATATAATTTTAGTAAAAAAATACAATAAGCAGTACCGTTATTGTTGATCTTGCTGATTTAGGTGACACTGATTCAACAACATTTGTTTGAATCGAAAATAAACCAACATCATCCTAAGTATGCACACAAAAAAAACAATATCAAAGTAACAAATGAAGAATTTCAATATGTAACAGAAATAAAATTGGTAAACAAAACATTATAACTTACATCTTTACATTCCGTATGATTTAATTCCGAAATAGAAGCACTGAAACCTCATCTTTGACATTACGTAAGTCATCCTAATACGAAAAAAAAAAATGAATAATGAACATATTAAATTAAGATAATTTAAGAAAATATGTAGTAAAAATCATTTAATAAACGAACATGATCCGTAGCATAATTTGTAAATTTAAGATTATTTACATGAGAATTGCACTAATGAAAAACACAAACTCCTTGATAAGCAAACAAAAAAAAATAAAAAAAAAAAAAAAAAAAAAAATACATATTGTAAAATAATATATAAACAATACAATAAAAAATTTATAATGTAAGACCCAATAAACTTTACCGTTGATGCAGATGATGGAGACAACAATGATTCGACAACAGTTGTTTGCAATTGAGAAATGACATCATTTGTAGGCAACGTCTTTTCTTGGTTTGGAATTTTACAAGTTGCACCATGGTATTTAGTAACCGTGAAACGACACACATATTGTGGTGCCAAATTGTAATGGTCAATCTTAATTGAAAAAACAATACTTAGACCACATAACCTTTCAAACAGGAAAGTACGTACCCAATTAGGATCCTTACCACCCTATAAAAACATAATAAAATAGTATTATATGTAGCATTTGTGTGGGTGTTTCTATATATATATATTATATCTATAGATATATATATTATATATATATCTATATATATATATATATATATATATATATAACAGTACCTCCAATAAATTCATATTAACTAATTCACCAACAGTAAGGCCAATAAGTTGAGTAGCATATTCATTAAAGAAAACACATCTCATTTGCTTATCCTTATCAGCTACTTCAACTACCAACTTATACCTAAACAAAAGTTTTTAGAAACATCATATAAGTATTATAATATAGGTTTAGGTTCTATGGAAAACAAAAAACCCTAAAAATCATTAAAATGCATAAAAAAAATACTTAGAGATCACAAAACTTTTTTTTGCATTTTTTTATCAAAAAATCGCAACTTTTAGGTCAAAATCGCTGAAAAAAAATTTTGAAATTTTTTTTTTTACAAAAAAAAAAGATTTTTTTATTTTTTCAGCGAATTTGTAAAAAATAATGCTGCGATTTTTTGATATAAAAAAATTCAAAAAAAAGTTTTGTGATGTATTGGTATTTTTTTATGCATTTTATATTTTTAGGGTTTTTTGTTTTCCAAATAACCCTTCCCTTATAATATATATATATATATATATATATATATATAATATATATATATACTATATATATATATATATATATATATAATATATATATAATATAAAACATACACTTGACGCGGGTTAATTATATTTTTCTGACAGCCAGAACAAAAATAGCGATTATCAACGAAAGTACCCTTCTTATAGCATCTTGAACACTGGATGAACTTCCAATCATTAAAGATATCTATGTCAATGATGGTTCCAACAACAGTGTACAGTGTACCATTCGTAAATGAAAAATAGATATAATTAATTATATATTTACTATAATAATTGATATTTCATAGTAATAAGGTATTACCTCAATGACGCCTTTTTGTATATCACTATACATATTTTTTATGGTTGCCACAGAAGGACGTTCAACTTGCCTCTCCGATTGAAGCAAGACATGCATCGCTTGACTATAATCCGACAACATAAAAAAGTAATGTATATTGATAAATGTGTTAAAACAAATTAACAAATAATAAATATAATAACACAATTACTTTGATTTGTATGTAGCAACAATGTCTATTGGAAGATTAAAATACAATTCAGATCCAACTGTAGTTCTCAAACTTGGAACACCTACAATAGTAACAAATATAAATTTATATATCTATATCTATATATATATCTATATAATATATATATATATTATATATTACATGTAAACATAATTAACATCTTATTTATAAAAAAAAAAATGAAATTACACCTTTGAACAATACAACTTTGCAAGACGTTACAATGAGTACAATTTTCATCTCCTTAAAACTTTTGATGTTTTCATCGGTGTACTTCTTAGCCAACTTACCCCACAATGTTATACTCACTTTCATATCATTGTACCAAATAAATTTAGTAATAACCATCAACCAATGTTGTAACATATTAAATTATCGCAATTATATATTATATATTTATATATTATATATATATATATATATATATACATATATATATATATCTATATATATATATATATCTATATATATATATAATCATAAATTACCTTTGATCAGAAAGAACAATCTTTCGCAATCCAACTTTACATGAGTTAGATGGTCGTGTTGTTTCCTCAAGAGAACCCCACTCACAAAGATTCCCAATGACATCTACAATTTTATAAGAAGTTACTTAAGATTTTGCAATCTAATAACAAAAGTAGAAAAACAATTTTAACCTGTAAGATATTTGTCGTCACCAACACGTGAACTAAGCTCATTGAACGGAAATAAGTCAAAAACATAACGTTGAAAGATTGTTGATGGCAAGTGGGAAGCAGCAATTGACGTATCAACAAGAAATTTAATAAAGATGTCCTTACGAAGTGGCCGATATAATGATTGACAAGGTAAAACCGAGAATTTATATATCCTATAAACACATCCCTCTTGTACAACATCAGTAAACTTGCACATGAATGAACTTGCAATGATTGCATGAATAGAAGATCCCTGTTAAATGCAAGTAATATCATAACATACAAAATCCATATCGTAATGCAAAGTCAGAAATACTTAATCAAATAAACTTACATTTTCATCACAAAGAATTAGATCTAAAGAGAAAACACGATCTGTTGAAGGGTTGTATGTTGTCCACTTACGTGAGACCATCACATGTACTTGCAACTTATCAGTAATGTTAGGCCTCAAATCACTTATCATCAGATAATTGGAACTGATCGTCATGTCTTCCTATATACTATCCATAACATATTGCAATCAAACCATCGATATCCAACAAAATCAAAATTGCAATCAAACGATCGATATCCAACATAAATCAAAATTACTAATAAGAAATTGACCAGAACTTCGATTTAGAACAGCACAGTGTGATCATTAATCAGTGTCATCATTAATCGATATTATTCTTCAACAAACAAAAATTAACTAAGACTAACCTTGCACGCACAAATTCTTTATACTATGAAATCAAAAAAGAGGCAAGTATGTTTACTATACCTGAAGCACAATATACAGTACCAGGCGACAATAGTGATCGACAAGAGTTTGAAGACCCTGAACAATCGAATAAGTTGAAACATTAGAAGAGAACGTGGAGCTACCGATCGTTGGCAGTTAACAGCGGAGAAATAGGAATGAGGGATAAGTCGGATATATTCAATGGAGATAGACGATATCAATTAGGGTAAAACGTTAAGTTAAAAAAATCATAATCAATTAAAAAAAATTAATAAATAAATAAATGAATAACTAAATTACATTAATAGCCCTAATGGAAGTAATAAAGGGATTGTAGTTGTTAATTTACTACCGAATGTTTGAAGTTAGTAAATGATGCGTATATATATTCCTTAAAAAATTATAGTTTTTTAATAAATCAAATATAATATATGAATTTTTGTATTAAAAAAAAGGATGAACAACCATTACATGATTATTTTCTGAAAAAAAAAATTGTACCTGTTAAGAAATAAGCCTCTTCATGAACTTATGCATTTATGAACAGGATTTATACCTATACGGAACTTGCAATGCAGTCATTCAATGTTGTTTATACCATGTAAATGGTAAATTATAGAAACCTTCTTCTTGTAAACAACATTCTTTGTCATATTGTTACCACACTTCCCCTTGTTGTCAATATAAAAGTGAAGACCAGCACGAAGAGGTTACGAGACGCTGTCACGTAAAGCTGACCATGTGAAAAAACCAGGTTTCACCAAGAAAGCACATACATGATTAAACGTTTGCCCCTGACTTTTGTTGATTGTCATAGCGAAGCAAACTTTGACAGGAAATTGTCTTCTTTTAAATCTAAAAGGCCATGTTGTGTCCGATGCAGTCATATCAATCCTCCCAATTAATACTTCTCTCCAATATGAGTACCGGTAATAATTCACCGCCTCCAAACCCCTCCGACTAATTTGTGTGATGACCAACTGAGTCCCGTTGCACAAACCTCTTTGCAAATTTAAGTTACGTAACAAAATGATCGGTGCACCAACCTTTAAGTTTAACTCATGGTTTGGAATTCCTGAGAACCGCAACGTGTTAAGAAATTCTGAAGAATACATAATTTCCAATTCGGCAAAATTATGAGTACTTCGACAAATCTCATCAGCACTTAACATTTCATGCATGTCGCCAGACATCTTAGAAAGCACATGTAAATTGATCATGTCAACATCATCGTTTGTCGGGCAAAGGATGCATCGTTCCTGTATGTAACACATGTCATTAAGTCTACTCAAAATATCTGGGAATACAATGGATGTAACAGCATCAATAGGATTATCAGCAACAGGAATAAGAAGATCATCGGGATAGTGATCCATGTACCATCGTCTTCACCTTCAACTGTACACGTAGGAAGGAAGCCGACAACACCCATTTCAGAATCCATTTACTAAATTCACGCATTTTTATAAGTTCATCGCCAGTAATGTTTTGATCAGACAAACGCATGTTCGTTGTCAAAACAAAAAAACGACATGAATCCATAGACCTTCTGATTTGTTTATACAAGAGGACACAACATCAGAACGGGATCCATGTGAATAACAGGCAAAATTTGACGAAAATCACCCCCAAGAACTACCACTTTCCCTCCGAACACTTTTGTTTCAGATCCAGCAACATAATAACGACATACATCACGAATGCACGATCAACAGCTTCAAATGAGTAACGATGTTGTAGTGGAGCTTCGTCCCAAATAATCAGCTCAGCAATATTAATCAACTCTGCGAGATCTGAGCCAACATCGATACCACAAGTTGAGTCTTTATCAATATCAATAGGAATATTAAACTTGGAATGCGCTGTACGACCACCAGGTAATGGTAAGAACAAAGATGCAATGCCCGATGACGCGACTGATAAAACAATCTTTCCATGAGATCGAATAGAAGCAATAATTGTTCTCCACAAATCTGTTTTGCTGTCCCTCCATAACCAGAGACAAATAAAAGCCCCCTGTCTTTTCATTGACAACATAATTATAATAGTAGAACTTCTTTCTGTTGCACATTTAAAACCACTATAAAGCTCATTGACAATCCTTATTTCTTCTTCGACGTTGTATGTCCG